CAGACCACCAGCCGAACATCAATTAGTAGCAACGCGAAACTCTTCCCTGATATATCGTAGTCATTGAAGCATATTATCACTGATTATGATCGGCATGTTTGAGCAGGACTTCATGAAACAGGAAAGATTGGTGGAATGTAACGAAGGAAATACAGTATTCTAAAATAACAAGCATAATATCATTATTTTCTAGCCAGCATCTTTTACGCCGCCACCCCCAACGACCCAAAAAAAAATAATTAAAAAACGTATTTTTCTACTGAATATTAAGAATTCCTAAATATGACATAAAAATTAAGGATAGGTAAAAATTAAAGATTTTATTAAACAAAACACAATTCTTTGTAATTTAGACACGATGATATTTAGCATAAATGGTTAAGTTGCTTTTAAAATATAACGTTGAATTATTCCTAATGAAAAATGTTGAATTTTCTTCAATTGTAGAATTTTTAAGTCATTACCAAAACTGAATCATATTGTTGAAATTTAAAATCAAACTTTTTCGTTGTAACATAGCGCATGTTAAGCTAAGTCTATTTATTATATTTTTATTACCATATTCGTACGCCATGATTTCTGTCAGTTCATTTGATCTAAATTGTTACAGAGTAATGTCTCGTAAACTCTTAATAGTTCGTGTTATTAACAAGCGTATTCCAAGAAGAATGATAAATAGAAACTTAACAGTTTGTGTCTAACATTGGATTTTTTTTTAAAGAAGGTGGGTAACAAATAAGTAGTAATTTTCACCTTGAACTTTCTGGTTTCTGTTTCAGTTTTTATGATACTATCATTTGTTTAAGTTATATCGACTAGCTACTTTGAAGGTGCTACAATTTTAAAACGTTTCCAGTAAATTTTTAGAAATATATACATTTAGTGAAAAACACTGAAACAAAGCATCTTAAAATTTAACAAAATGGAACGTTGTAATGTAAATTTACTTTATTTTTTTAGTTTACAATTCTCAGCTTTATTCAATGGTTTAAAAAGTGCAACAAAGAAATTAAAAAATATATATGTAAAATTTTTTTCAGGTTGTATACTAAAGTCAATAATAAGATACCGACTGTTTTTTCCAGTATTGATGTATTTAATTTCATTGTTTGTTTGTTTTCCATCACACTACGTCTCCTTATACCAACTACTAAACACAGTCTTAAATAAAAGTGTTATATTTTCAAGACGAACTTCATTTTTCTGTAGAATCTTAGAGGGTGTGGTTTTAGTTTATTTCTTTGTCACCAGGGGTCTAATTTTTACGAGGAAACATGGTTGGAGAAGGGTGGGTAAAAAATAGGTGATGGGACAACAATGGGCATTTTTGCACTATAATACGAGTGAAACGACGATATACTTCTTAGACATATACAATTCGTATTTTGATTGCCAAATTTTGAAACGTATCTATTGATAAGATACGTGTGTATGTCTTATGTATGTTTTGCTTATAATGTAATAAAAAAAATGTGTACGATCTGTAATATGCTTCTTCTGAATAATTTAACTATTATTTGTGTATTAAATAAGCGTTCATTCATATTACCGAATAAAACATTAGAAATGTGTTCGTTCTTTAACTATACATTTAAAAAATTCTGAACGTTTGGAAGACAGTTGCATACAACCTAATGAAGTGTTCTAGGCATAATTTAACTTTGAAAAAAGTTAAAACAAAGTCGACGTAATCTGTGCAATAACATCACAAACGACGTTTTTGGTGAATAATGACCATTTATAAAAAAATCTTAAAAAATCACTTCATTCCTAAACAAACATTAGGCTATTTCTATCAATGAGTTTTACAACGAAGGGCCTTCTCTTTACCTATACGACTCATTTTGCAAGAAGAACAGTGTGCTAGCTTGTATGGTAAACAAAATAATTTCAAACTGGTTTCCTTTCAAAAATATATATAAACGAAGACTGCGTTTTGTACACGATACTTTTCGAAACATTTTTTATTTTTTTATAGAACAGTACACATCTATTTGTTTTTAGCCCAAAACATTCCATCGTTTTGTTTTAATTCTGATTTCAAAACTTACCAAACCCAAATATTGTGATAACTTTCCAATTGAACAGGAAAGACAGCTAATCCACTGGACAAATTTTGTATTCCAACACTAGTAAAGACCTGTTATGGATATTATCTCAGAGCAGTAGGCCTGTTTCTAAAGTGAGGAAGCAACCGTTCGAGGTATAATCATACTTATCTCAATAACTGATTTGTGTTACCAAGTATGTTAGCGTATCTGTAATCTTTCTTTTTGTCTAATGATTTATACAGCCACTCTCATTTCATCTGCGAATATTCTTGGAGGTGTGGCAGGTGCATGCGCGGCATTCCTAGATAAGGTTGGTTAATCAGCAAGTAGATACAACAAGTATGCAAGAGTTGAGATTCCGAGTTTATAATAGGACAACGGTAAGTCTTCGGATTTACAATGCTAAAATCAGGGTTTCGATTCCCCTCTGTGGACACAGCAGATAGCGCGATGTGGCTTTGCTATAAGAAAACACACGCACATACTTATTATAGACATGACTGGATCCAAAGGTGTGATTGACAAACTGAAAAGACTAAAACAGACGCATAACATCAAAATAAGTCTTTATTTGACATAACACACTAAAAAATAAAACACATTAGGTGGTACTGTTATGACAAATTGATAAGAAACTGTAAATAGCAGAGTCAAAATCAAGTGAAGAATATAGAAGCAGTTTAATGTACTATATAAACTTAGAATTGAAAAATTCGTCTAGTTGAACTTAACAGATGAGAGAGGACACGAACGACGTTTTTCCGAAGTGAATACAACAGACAAAGACCCAGCGTCAGAATGCCGAAAACAAACCGCAAAACTGTAAACCAAAGGCAAGTTCATGGAAAAATGTCTTCACCCTCATGATAACAGTGAGTGGGGTGGGGGTGAAAATAAAGAAGTGATGGAAAACACAGGATTTCCGTTGATAACATATTGTTACGTCTCTGTTCGTTTGTTAATTTCCCGTAAAAATTCTTTCTGAGGAACTTCAGCGATACAAGTCCTAGAAATAACTAGAATTGCCAGGAACAGTCATGATCCTTCTAGAAAGTCCAACGGCATGCTTCCAGGATCACGTGACTTCCGCTGTCGTAACACTGCCCCTTCCTTAGTATTGTTTATCACGAACAATAGCCATTTACATTAAACCAATAGATAACTTAATTAAATGTACAGAATTTACAAATGCAAAATTAAAATTCAACAAAGTCTCTTAATTTTACGGCTTCTCGTTGGCTTGTGCTTCACGTGGGGTTCATCTGCTCCATCAGGAAATGTCCTATTATCGGTAACAGTCACATCAGTGGTAGTAACTTCATTAAGGGCTTCACTGCTTCCCTTCTCAAAACCGGTTAGAGTTTTTTCTTCGACAGTGGCTTTTTCAGGTGACACGTCTTCAGCTGTGTCATTTGTTCCGTTGTTCACTTCGTTCCTACTGAAATGTCCTGGACCGTGATAATGCCAAAGCCTGTTGGCATGCGCCACCTTTGGCTTACCTCGCCGACCACATTTTATTCAGAACGTCACGTCTGAGAGACGATCCATTATGTCATATGGGCCTTCCCATGGAGAAAACATCTTAGGAGACTTCCCTTTGGTCTTCCTGGGATTATACAACCACACCTTGTCTTCTGGTATGAAGCTGACTTAAGTAGATCTCTTATCATAACATAGCTTCATGGAATCAGTAGACGTTTTCAAGTTTTGAACGCACTTGATGATGAATATCATCCATCCTTTCAGATAAC